CTAAATAATAGACTAATTGAATGCATATATTGGAAATTAAATTTCAGCATTATTTTCTAATAAAATACACAGGCATTCAGCCAGTTTGAGCAGATCAATTAAACACACTAATTTTAACGTGATCCACTTTATCACAGATTATAACATAGAAGTTTGATTCATTCATTTTCTGAGAGCCAGGACAACCCCAAGCTGTAACTCCTTACTGTCACCACTCTCTCAAAAAAATTCAGAAATAAAAACAACAAAACAACAACAAATCAGCTACAACCTCCTTCTAGAACTCCTAGTAGAACTCCTACTGCCAGAAATATTTCCATTATTAGCCCAGAACCAGAACTTCATTCAACTTGACAGACACCACCTGCATCTTTCAGATTTTGGAAACAGCTCTGAAAGTAGCAAGAACCCAGATTTACTATAATAAGACCAGTGCTTTGTTGGGTTTGGTTTGGGTTTGTTTTTTTGTTGGTTTGTTATTCAGTTGTTTGTTTTTTTTTTAAATCTGCATGAGACACACCATGTCAAATGCAAAGCTAAATTCCTCAAGTGATTTTAGCCTGGCTTTTGACCTTTCTGCAGCCTTGAGACTCCCCTGAGCTGCCTGTGCCATCCCCAAAGGCCCAGAGAGGATGTCTGGCTCTGCACACACTGGCAACAACAGCCAGTGGCTCTCACTGCAGAACACACCAGGGCAAGAGCTGACTCTCCCAAATATCTCCTTCAAAGGGACTGTGCTCTGCAGATGTGTTTATACACAGGATGGACCCTCCTTGTGCCATTGTTTTCCCCACCTGTGATGCTCATTTCAGGAAGGAAACCCAAAAGCAGTGACACCCCCAAGGCAGCTCAGTCAGTCCCTTTTTCTGACACTTCCATTTCCTGGGGCTTGAGAAAGGAGCTCCTCCAAAAGCAGGAGCTGCCTTGGGGGTGTCCCTGCTTTTGGGTTTCCTTCCTGAAATGAGCATCACAGGTGGGGAAGACAATGGCACAAGGAGGGCCCATCCTGTGTATAAACACATCTGCAGAGCACAGTCCCTTTGAAGGAGATATTTGGGAGAGTCAACTCTTGCCCTGGTGTGTTCTGCAGTGAGAGCCACTGGCTGTTGTTGCCAGTGTGTGCAGAGCTAGACATCCTCTCTGGGCCTTTGGGGATGGCACAGGCAGCTCAGGGGAGTCTCAAGGCTGCAGAAGGGACCTTTTAACACTTCTATAATAAAAATAGCTTCTAGAAAGTAATTAGAGAAAAGCTTTGGGCCAAATGTTCAAGGCTGGTATGGGAATGCTGTGGAATTGTCGAAGGAAGGGGACCAGGACACCAGCTGGTTCATCACAGGCCCAGTCCGGTCCAGTTTATTGAAGAAAGTATCAAACACTTATACAACAAATAATAAGCTTATGAATATTCTGTAAGCCAAGCAACCTATTGGTTAAACTATGCCATGAACTCTTCCTCATTCCTTAGGGGTTACATCTCTCTTTTCTCATGTCTTTCACTGTTTGTTATCACTACAGCCAGGCCCAATGACACTGCTATCTGTGCAGGTGCAGGACTTGGAATTAGCCACGGTTTTGTACTTTCCCAGTCCTTAGCCAGCCAAACTCCCAACATGGAATATTTTGGAATGTTGGGGGACACTGAAATGTTGTGGAAAGTTATGGAATGTTGTGGAATATGATGCAGGATCCTTGAGGTGCAGAAGGTCATTCTGGCTCCTGAAACAGAGCAGTAGTACTTTCAATTTTCAGATTCTTAATTGTATGTTGCATTGCCACTACAGCACATCATGATTTTTCCTTTCCTGTCAAGTTTGTCTTCCCCCAGAATATCCCCCTGGAATGAGAACATCACTCACAATGCTTCTCAGCTTGGGATATTAAGCTTTTATTTCTCAAGTATTTCCCAGGCATGGGACATAAGATTTTGTAAAATTCCCTCATTTAACAAGCTAAATAACATTGCTGTTTTGTTTCACAGACACTCCTGTAGCACCACAGTTAATTTTAACTTTAGTCACTTTTCTAAGAATGTCAAAATTTTATTTTGAAATCTAACTATGTTTTCCTTCTACCTTCTCATCTGACTTGATCTCTCTCCTTTTTCCAAAAACATTTCCTGAAGCAAAACCAAGCCCATCTGAGTGTTTACAAACTTTGCAATAATTTCCCACTGTACCAACTGAAATTTTGGTTGCAGATCAACCAGAACACTTGTGCCAAATATTTTCCTTTCTCCTTCTAAAGAAACCCACCCATCACCCAAAGCAACAAAAACCTGAAACCTGACACTTTCTTTGGCCATCATTTACCTTTTTTTTTACCATACCCCTTACTGAACTGCAATGCTGAATTACCAGATCAGTTTGAAGGCTTCCCAAAGACTCATGCTGCCTCCTCTTTGATTTACCTATTCCTTCATTTTTCATTATCTTCTCCATTGATTTTCCTGTTACAAAGTGTAGATTATTTAACCTTATCTTCTTCAATGCCCAAGAAATTTCCTTCACTGTCTTATTCTTCATCAAAACCTGGACTTTGGCTGTTAACAAAGCTCCAAAGAATTTTCATTGTGCAAGTTCAACCTTTTTATGCTCTTCCATAGGAGACAGTAGATGAGGTACCACCAGCAGGAAGCTTTGAAACTGTCACTAAAATGTTCTGCTGAGCAACCTTAAAAACATGTTGCACAATAACCTGTCAAAACACTTCCAAGATGAAAAGGCTCTAAAAGGCACATTAAGAAGATGCAGTTATAAATAAATATGACTTTTAGATTTAAGCATCTGTAGGATGGAAAACAGGAATTTCCCTTTAAATGCCCAAGTTTTTTATATTTTAAAGAGAGCTTCTGCAGGTGCCCAAGGTGCTGTGGCTGGGGACAGGGTGGGTGTTTGAGCCCCCAGAGGCAGCTGAACATCTCCCCCTCTGCACACACAAATGTCACCAGGCCACAGAGCAGTGGGTGCTGCTGCTGTCACCCCACAGGAGCTGGGCAGGCTGGAGCTGTGGCCACTCCATCCCTGTGAGATCTCAGACAACAAGGAATGCTCAGAAAAAACCACAAATAACCAAACTCCTGGCTAAGGAATCAGAACACAGGAATTCACAACAAAGATCTCAACAACCATCACTGTTCATGTACAGGTGTTTTTGCACTTGAGCAGCACCACAGAATCGAAGGAAATAAGGGAAAATCTATTATTTAGAATAAAAAATTGCCATCTGACCATATTTTACCAAACTATGTCTTACATAAGCCTTGCACTAGGTCACTCATCCATCAGAGCATGCTGGGGAGCACCCAAACAAAACAAGCTCAGCTCTTACTTTATTTTTTAAATCCCAACATTGCATAAGCACCTTCCAAGGGGTCCACAGTGTCTTCTACTAAATATTAACACTGATAAATCAGCACTGCTGATGGCAACTCTGTGCTTTGGTTTTGGATTTTTAACACCTTCATTTATTTTTCAACTTCATGTATTTCTTCCAAGCTGTCTCCTGCTTATGAAGATGAAGTATGCATTCAATAATTTCATTAAGGTTTTTTTTTTTCAAATAAATAAGGGTGTTCTTTTACTTTTTGTTGCAGATTTCTTAGATTTGCTCTTCCTATATTTTATAGGAATCAAACTTGATGATTGTGTATTTATTTCCTAAATTTAGACTTCACGAGATTTTATATTATCCAAGACTAAAACAAAAACAAAAAAAAAAAACTGTCCAAGAAACAGAATATAAATTCATGAAGGAATTCAGGCTGGATTGAACACCAGGAGGCCCAGCCTGCATGAGGCTCTGTGCAGTCAGGGAAACTGAACTAAGGATTTAAGCTACTGCATTTTTCTCAATGCCCATTAAAAAAAACAATCAATGTAACTAACAAGCAGCAGGATACACAGAAAATGATTCACCAAGATGCAGTCGCTGACTGGAGAAAACAGGATAAAAAATAAATAATCATTTATGCATTTTTAATAAATAAGAATTAAAAATGAAAACAACAAATATGTTTTTATAAAGACTTTTAAAGAGTATTTATGTTGCGTAAAAATTTCTGGAATATTTAATAATGTGAACAATTATAAATAAAGAGTACAAACAGAACAGATTAAAGGAGCCTCACTGAGAAATAGATTTCTAAATAAGCAAGGTTTGGTTTTCTTTTATTTTTAATCTCTCAATTTGTGAACTTTATTGGCATAAAATCAGGAGGCTGTGTTACAATTAAACATGGAGCTGTTCTGTATAGCCTCTTCAGAATATGCAATAAATAACTCAATGAAGATTCAAATACTATTTAAAATGGGATAACTAAGGGATGAGCTTATTTGCAGTTAGATATTATATATATGATTAAATTTAGAGAGAGACTTATCTATATCTATGTGCTCTTGAAACATCATCATTTGAGTTTGTTCTACTGCACCTATCAACACAAAGTCTCTGGAATTAAAGTTACAAAGGAACAAGCCTTGAGAATTTGCAGTTACCTGAAGAGAGGCATGGCTCAATCAAACACTGCAGTTACAAAGAGACTGGGACACATTTAAATTAACAAATGAATGAAACTGTTTCAAAACAAAGTCTAAAAACTTTAGTAGAAAGTAAAAAGCCTCTAAAAAAATTAATCAGAATTTACTGAATTTGTTTAAAGGCCAGAAGTGTAAGCCATGATTCTCCAGTGGCACAGAAACCCTTGGCATCTATTAAATTTCAAAGGCAATTGTAAAAATCATTTCACAGAATTATTTTGCAAGTGTTAGCCACTGTCTCCTGTGTTCCCAAGAACTCATCAGATTTGGGGCTGTATGTGGAGAAACCAGAGGCATTCCAGGCAGGGATGACCAGAGCCTGACCATCAGTTCAAGATGTGGTGTCACACCAACAGCACCTTTCTCATTGTAACAAAATGTGCTTAGGAAACACAATTCACAAAATTAAATCATTGTTTGAAGGCCATGGATTGTTAAGTAGCTAAAAAACAGTGAAAGTGATACCTTGGCAGCCTTCAGCAAAATTTCCCTCTCTTGTTCATCTTTCCTTTGCTTTTCCAAACGCTCCAACTGCTCGAAGAACTTCAGCTGGGATCGGACGTCTGAGGCTTGTTCGTACCACTCATCATCCTGTGAAACAGGGACAGGCCTTGGAACAGCAGCCACCTCACCCACACCAGGCATTTACACACTCCAGTGTCACACATCAAAATCTTTCCATTGTACTAACAATAAAAGGATTATTTTTTAGGCTCAGGGGAATGAAGCCAGCCTATGGTTAATAAAACAGCGAGAATCTGATAATTTAATTAATATCTAAGCAATTTTAAAAGAACAAGAATTGGTTTATCTGCACCACAGAATCACAGAATCACAGAAATTCTAGGTTGGAAGAGACCTTTAAGATCATCAAGTCCAGCCCATGTTCTAAAACCTCAACTAGATCATGGCACCAAGTGCCACATCCAGTCTTTTTTTAAACTCTTCAAGGGATGACGACTCTACCACCTCCCTGGGTAGATGATACCACCAGATACATGAAAGAGTTTAAAAAAGTAAAACCAACTGACTTAATGATGGAAAATATCTAAAATGCTTAACTTTATTACTGAATAATCCTAACTATAGTTTATAGCAGGTTCATCATTTATAATTCCTGCATTTGTACTAATCTTGAACTAGTAACAGACTTTCTCAAAAAGCAATATTATAAAAGAATTAAAGCTAAAATTCAGTTGAGAATAAGCCTCTAACTCCAATTAAAACAGAAGCTTATGACAACTAAGAGTGTGCTAGTTTTCTTAGCACACAGCTACCAGGAGAGTTTATGGCATGAGCCCCATGGAGAACACTCAGAATGTCAGTCAGAAAAGCAAATTTTCCACATTACTTTCATCCCATTTATCTACTTAATGTTCTCCTATCTGACTAGCCATGCTATGAAATCAAAGAATAGCATCAACAAAGAAAAATACACAATACAGTGACAATGCCACATTCCAATCAGAGACAACAATATCTTTTTTTTTCTAAGGATCTTTTAAGGCACTGTTTTAGATTCTGCTTTGGCTTAACATGGACAAAGCAAACTGTTTTCTTCTCAGACACCATCCTAGAGAGAAGGAAAGACTTAACACTTCTGAAGATGATAAAGAATACTGAAAAGAAACAAGGATATTTACTTTTAATCCAATATAGTAGAATATATCCATCAATTGCAAGGAAAGATCTAAGTGCAGGTAATAACCAGGATGAGTGGTCTTTATTTTTTAATCCATTTTTCTATCACAATAACATTTATTATAGTCACAGATCCCAGAGATTGTTATTTTTGCAAATATCACATAGAATTAATCCAACCATGACTCAGGTCATGGGGCCCCCAGGTTTGGGAAATAAGATACAGTCCAAAGCTGTTTGACTAGACTGCCACTCCAAGAATACAAAAAAGTACACCAGAAAACCAAGGAACAAACTAAAGCAGAGCTATTCAATGTATATATATGCTAAAGAAATCTAAATCAGCTTAGACAACACACAACTAGTTATTGCCATCTTCCTTGCCACCAGTGTAACAACCACAATAACTAACAAGCATCTTACTTCTACTCCAGAAGGTATTTCAAATAGATCAAGGAAGATGTTTGATTTCTTTGAATTTCAAACTGGACTGTAAATCTTTATTTAAATTTCCCCCTGGTTTGAGATATCAAAATTATTTCAGTTTTCTTCAGGAATACAAAAAAATCAGTGAAGAATTTACAGCTGAATTCTTTCGTTGCTATGGCAGACATTGGCAGCTTTTGTAAAATATTAACATTTCTCACATCCAGAAAAGTTACTATAGACTCCTAAATACCAAAGGAATTTTGATCCAATTCCTGGATGCCCTGGCCAAAGTGCCAGAGCTGCAGGGAGGGCAGCAGGACGTGGCTGTGTGAGCACAAACCCCTGGGCACTTTGTACACTTACTTTGTACGACTCCATCCGGTGCTGGGTTATCACTGTCACCTTCTCTATCACTGTCCTTAATCTGCTCTGTGTTGCATGGGAAATAAAAGTAACCACCTCAGCTGGCACATCAGTAATTCCTAGTTTTTTAGCTAAAGCAAAAAAACAAAACAAAACAGGATTAGCTTATCCCCCATAGGAAAAAAACCTGAAACACAAACAAAGCTCTAAAGGACTTTACATCACTACTTCATTTTCCTGGATAGAAAAATCCATGGCAGGGTATTTATGTGGCTTTGGTGACACATTGATGACCACCTGAAAAGGGTGCAACTCTACTTTACAAGTTTAAAAGAAAAATCAGAGAATTTCTTTAACACTTGAAAGCACCTAAGAACTTTGCTGAAGTTTAGCCTGGCACATTAAACTGAGGCATGTCACAGTATGAGACAATCTGAGTTCTCAGTTGTTCTACACAGAAAAAACAATTCCTTTATTTTCAGAAGCATTAGTGCAGATGAATTTCAGTGTTGAGCAGGTGAGGGCTGAGAGCAAAGCATTCTGTGGCATCCTTTAGCCTACACCAGTGACATAGTACTGATAACAGAAATTCTTCTATAAAAAAAAAATTAATTAAAGGCAAAGAAATAAAGCCATATTAAAAAGAGTTGTTTAGAAACACCAGCTGCCCCCCAATACATGTTCAAGGTTACCTGGACATTTGACACTTTGTGTTGAGTTTATAAAACAAGTAAACAGTCTACAGTCTAATGCATTTACATATTTTAAAAACATCCAAACTACAGAAAAAAAATAATATGGGTAACACTCAAGGACTCCTAATTTCATCAAAATAATTACCAAGTACTGGATATAAATTTGTAGTATATGAATATAAGTACTTATTTAAACTGCAGTCCTCCGAAGGCATACATGGTCCTGGCAGGACAGTTTTCTGGGTAGAAAACTCCCTGTGTGCATGCACAGATACAAATATTTCACACAGGGAAAAAATGGGGAGTTGTGTTTGTATGGACCATTGGTGTTGAACCACCACAAAAGAATAAACCTGCTGAGTCGGTTTCCCATTGAATGGACACAGGACTTTCAATAGCAGTTTGGCCGGGACACACGAATGGTTATGCAAAACACAGAAATCTGTGACTATCCCGGTCAGTGCTTCCTACAGAGCCAACTGCAAAGGGAATTCTCGTCTGGGGAGGGGTCCCTGAGCAAACGGGACCTCGGCTGCACAGAGAGCAAGTGTTGGCTTGGCGAGGCGTTCCTGCCTTGCCCTGGCTGAATTCCAGAGCAAGAAACCCACGGCTCAAACAATGTGGGAGAAATGAGCGGAGCGGGGCTGCAGCCAGGGGGAGCCGGCACCTGCCCCTTCCCTTCCCTTGGCACCCGAGCCATCGGGATCTGCCCCTTCCCTTCCCTTCCCTTCCCTTCCCATTCATCGGGATCTGCCCCCTCCCTTCCCTTTGCTCCCTCTCCACCGGGATCTATCCCTTTCCCTCCTCGGCACCCGACCCACCGGGATCTGCTCCTTCCCTTCGCTCCTGATCCACCGGGATTTCCCCCTGCCATCGATCCACCGGGATCTGCCCATTCCCTCTCCACCGGGATCTGCTCCTTCCCTTCCCTTCCCTCCCTCTCCACCGGGATCTGCTCCTTCCCTTCCCTTCGCTCCCTCTCCACCGGGATCTGCTCTTTCCCTTCCCCGGCTCCCTTCCCACCGAGATCTGCTCCTTCCTTTCCCTTCAATCCCGATCCAGCGGGATCTGTCCCTTCCCTTCCATTCGCTCCCGGTCCATGAGGATCTGCCCCTTCCCTTCCCAGCCCCACTCCGCTCCCAAGCCGCGCCTCCCCAGCTCGGTTCTCTACTCCGGCTACCGCTGGTGTTCATTTTAGGGATTCTTTGAAGTCTTTACCTCTTAAACTAACTTAATCACCAGCTCCCTATCTTACATGTTACCTTAAGGATTTCAGCAAGATGTATATATGATTTTTAACTAATTTTTGCTTTATCGTGGAAAAAAAAAAATAAATTAAACCTTTCTTGGTGCCCAATTTGTCCTGTGTAATAGAGCTGGAGCTGCGCTCAGGTTGCTGAAAGCTGAATGAGTAATGGCATGCAGACACACACATTAAATCCCAACGCTGCCACTGCCACCCAGGCAAATGAAGTCCTTGAAGTTGGGAGGACAATTCCTACAGGCAGGAGCAATTCCTCCAAGCCAGACTGGCAATATTTGAGCACACGCCATTTTACTACGCAAACGCGTGTAAGCAAAGCCATCACTCAGAAAACCCTAATCTGAAAGATAAATGCAAGGAAGAAGGGACATTTAATTAACTAGTACCCAGAAAACAGGCTTGGAGATGGAAAATTCTGCCCTATTCTAGGTAAGGGTGAGAATGTGTAATTGTTACAGTTCGTTCAATTTGAGTGTAACTACAGCTACCCAACTTCCCTGAAACACACACACTCCTTTTATAACAAGAACTGTTGCCATCTTGGGTTTTTTTCAAAATAAAGGCCTCTCTAATCTCAAAGAATTTTATTCTGAATAAAGTCAACCATTATAGCACTTTTCTTGTCCCTTTAACTCTTCAGAAATTCAATCATAATTTATGGTTGAATTCTCTGAGATACCTGATGTCTTAAGATTCTTGTCCTTCATCAGCCTCCGCAATATCCCAGTAACTATCTTCTCCTAAAATCCCCCAACATAATATTCCTACATCCAGAAAACTACCCAGAGGCCACAGAGTCCCTAGGGAATCTGCCCTGGGATTTATCCTTTTTAATGGGTGTTTCAGAGACCTCGGGGGTGAGACACGAAGGCCCCTCAGCAGGTCTGCAGATGGCAGCACCCTGAGCAGTGCAGAGGGGAAGGACCTGGCCAGTGACACCAGAGAACTCCATGGAGCTCCTGAAGGACAAGAGCAAAGCCCTGTGCTTGGGCTGGGTCACTGCAATGCCATGGTTTGGGGTCAGCAGCCCTGGTGGGATGCATGGAGAGCCTGGAGGCCAGCAGTGACCCAGGTTCCAGCACTGACCCTGGCACCCACAGCAAAACAGTAAATCACTGGCAACAACCCACCAAGGGAAGCAACTCCTCCTCTTCACTCAGCCCACACCTAGAGTCCTGCACTTGTGCCTCACTCAGTACAAGAAAAGCTTGAAAGAACCTGAATCCAGAAAAGTCAACAAGATGGTCATGGGGGTTGCAGCACACGGCCTATATGAGGAGAACATGAGGGTTCTTTTTCTCAGAGTAAGAAGACTTAAGGGAGAGTTGATTGAGAAGATAGAGCCAGACCCTTTATTAAGGGTGCTTGGAAGAAGAATGAAACATAAATTCATAAACTGAAACAGCTGTTTTCTGACTGGATATAGGGAATAATTCTTTCATGAAGAAAGAATCATGGAATCCTTTGCACAAACAAGTCGTAGACTGTCCCACCTCTCAGGTTTTTAAGACTTGGCCAATTAATGCCCTAAACAACCCAGTCTAAACTGAACGTTGATCCAGCTTTGAGCAAGGCACTAGTGTGATTCAATGGTCCCTGTCCCCCTGCACATGTGCCCCCATATTCCTCATTACTGCTCATACTGCACATCTCTCCTCCATGTCAGCTCACCCCCTGGCACATCTCCCAGCCCACATTTGTCCAGCATGCCAGCTGAGCACAGCCAGGGACCCTGAGCCTGCCCAGTCTGTGCCAGAGAGCTCACTGGCAGCCAACCAGGCAGAACAGCAAAGAAAAGCAAAAACGGGTTCATCCCTCAGCTCAGGCACACAGAGGGGGCTCCATCGAACTCCTGATTTATCAATCGACTCAAAAGTGACCTGAAGGGAAAGAAGAAAGGCAAATGGAATATTCAATCACTTAAGGCTACAATTCTTTGGAAAACAGGATAAGGGGAAAAGAATACAATTTGCCCCCAAATGAATTAGCATCAAGGAATCAGACTACAAAAAGATTTTTAAAAAGTCATCTTGTCATCCACACAATTCATCATGTGTGGAAGCATCATCACATCTCCCCTGCTCTAAATTACATGAGTTAAACCCTCTAGCTTGGGATGTCAGAAGCAGGGAGCATTCCAAAGCTGCACACTTACACGAAGATTTGGCACACTCCTTGAATGCTTGCATTGCACTTGGGGCAAGGGTGGGAAAATTACCCATTTCATCCACATTTGAAAATGCTGGCCTGTTTATCCTTTCATTCACAGCTGCTCACACCACTGTGCTGAATCCACTGACCTATGAGATGTTGCTGTACCACTCCTTACAGCCTGGCCCTTTTTTGCTTTGTGCTACTCACAAAAATGCCAAATAGAAACTGAATCTAACTACAGGGCTGGCAACTATTAATTTTCATATGCTTCTATACTAAAGTCTCAGTTTTGTCTTTTTTTCTCGACTGCCACTTCTCTTCCTGAGATCCACTCTCATTTATAAATTTCTTAAAATGAAATGTATAAAAGTTCATCCACTCTCATTTATAGAAAGCATACTGGAATCCTGTCTGCCATCAAAGGAAAACAACACTTATCTCTAAATGGAAAATTCCTGACACACTCTTCTAGTCTGCTTAATTACTTTAGCCAGTGTTAATAGGAAAAGGCTATTCTTCCCTTTTCAAGATTCCCTAGAGTTGATAATGATGTGGAACAGAAATATGATTTATATTTTTAAGAAATTTATTGATACACATATATAGACTAAAATACTAAACATAGTTAATTATATCACAAACATACTTGTTAATACTCATCTTTCTAATCAAGTTATTCGACAGTGGGCTTCATCTACTGAAATTTTTATTTAGGCCCTAGCATTCTGAATTTTGGTCTTAATTGCACCATTTGACCTCTACAATACATACATTTAAAAATGTGCAGAAACCAAGGAGAAAATAAGGATTTTTAAAAAAATCAACCTTACTTCTATCAACAGAGTGCTTTCCCCTCTCTTCTGTTTATAAAAAGTTTAACTTCTTTCTGATTTTTAGGTGATCATCTCAATGTGCTTTAAGTTTGATGATGTGGCAACCTTAACTTGCAGTCTTGTGATCAAAAGTATCATATGTGGAATTTGAAAAGAGTTGCTTGCTTTTAAATAATACATTTGTT